TCCGCACAGAGATAAGCATTAATACTAGTATCTTATTTTCCAATCATATTTATATTTTTATTACTAAAATTACATTTGGAAAAAATAGAAATTTTTTTTCATTAAATGCTGTCATTTGAGAATATATGAAAAATGGCTATTAAAATGACAGTAAATTATCTTGATGGTCCAATTTGTTTCAGGTGCTTTACTTTGATTTTTAATGAATAATTCATGCAAAAGGGTAAAAACTCATGTTTTTGGTGTGGAGAGGTGGTTTTCTGGTTTTAATAATGCCCTTTCTGCAAAACCAGCTGTCTTCTAGAGATGGAGTAGAAAGTGCTGCAGAGGAGTGTCTTGAAAATAGTGTTACTCATTTGTAGTGCTCATTGTGGCTTCTGAGTCATCAAAGTCACTTACCTAGCAACAGTTTGTTTCCTTTAGGCTTGTGAAAATCCTCATTTCTAATGGCACAGATGTGAATCTGAAGAACGGAAGTGGCAAGGACAGGTAGGAGGTGGGATATAGCCCGAAGTGTGCTGCTGTTCCCTTAGCCGTGTTACTAGGCTTGTGCGCAGAGGGTTTCTGATGTAACCCAAATATTTTCTTCAGTTTCTCTTGGCAGTTCCCAGAGGAAAAGTGGAGATGACAAACTGGCTCTTTGACTTGTTTGTTTACGCCTTCATTCATCAGAGTATTTACGGGGCACATATGATAACCTAATACAACTTCTCTAGCTCAGTGTTTAGGGCACACCAATGCTCAGTAAATGCTAGTTATTAAAGCAGCTCTCACCAGCTCTGTGCTGGGCATTTGGTCGTAAGTGCCCCTCCCTGGCACCTCGTACCTCCCTAGGGCTCTTGCTGCTTTTCAGCCTTACCCTGTTTACTAAGAATCTTAGGTGTTTCTTAGAAGCAAACAGAAATCAACTTCAAAGACACAACCAAAGAGATTTCCTGAGGCAAAAGGGCACACATACTCACACACTTGAAGGGCTGAGTGCATTACAGAAAAAGTTTGTGGAAAGAACATGATACAAAAGATGAAAGTTTTTGAAAGACTTAAAAATACTCGCTAATCTAGTAATTAGATTTAGTTAATTAATTCAAACTAACCCATATTTATTGAAGAACTACCACATGCTTGGGCAGAACAGTGAGAAAAATGCAAAGCCGTTGCTCAAAAAGCTCACGGTCACATGATCCTCACAGAGCAAAGGTCTGGGCACCGCAAACAAATATCTGTGGAACAGCCACAAAACACTGATGATACTCGGTAGGCCAGAAGGAAAACATCCATTTCTCAAATTAGCCTGTTTACTCCACTCTCTGGACACAATGCAGTAGATTTTAAATAACAACATTTTAAAAGT